CTGTTCCTTGAGGCCATCCATGTAACTTCTATATTTATCACTTTGCAAAGAAATGATTCACAACTGGAATATAACCGACTTCCTTTATTCTATGGTTATCGTTACCATATTTACTTTAAACTACCAGATTTAGCATGCTCCAAAGATCTTAGAAATCACTTTTATTCACTTAAAAGTTAACAAGAGTTGGGCAACGTTTTTTTGTAATCACATACATACTGTGCAATATTACGTTACATTGTTGATATGTTGATAAATAAGGCGCCGTCACTCTGTATAACCCCAAAAAGCTCTGGAATATAGAGTGCATACAGTATGTGTCAACTAAACCTGATTAGTGTTATATTACAAGGAAGCAATAGTTCAAGGCATTTAAACAAGTGTCCCCCTCCAACTGGATCTTAAGACATTAATGCACAGAAAAACACATCCAACCACTGAATTGAGAGAAATCACAATGTTGGGACTGTGAATCACTGGTAGTGTGAAGAATTAGTGGAAGTAAAAAGGACAGAGCTAAGTGTGACAGCACCAGTATAAACAACGTAGGTTTCGACTTTTTTCCATTTCATAGAGGTGTTCAGTTGTATGGGAGTGCAAGTTATTGAGTGTTCCAACAAGGCAACAATGATAAACCATCTGACACACACAAGCTGTTGGCATCAGAGAGATGGTGCAACAGCACTCCAGGTGGATTGAACTTTGTTCACAGGAAAGGAAGACATCAGTGATTATCCCTAGCATCTTCATTATTGTAAAATGTAAAGTGACAAATGATACAAAGTAAAATCCTATTTAACCAAAGCTACATTTGGACTAAAATGCTTACCAGCATGAACATCATAACCTCTACTGTGACATGTACATCCCTGTGGAGGGTTGGAGTATAGTCAAGCATTTTTTTCAACCTCTGTACATGGATCATAAATATTACTCATACAAACATTTGCAACATTTGAAATCAAAATCAAAATCATGCCATCTTCATGCTGACAACTGAAGTCCAGTTCTTTATGACAGGTACTTTTTTTAAAAATGGACTCCGCTCTT